GCCTACTTACATGGTGACAATGTGGCGTTGAAAAAGAAAGATTGCATGTAAATATGGGTACTAACAACAACAAAAACCCAAATAAAAAGAATAGTGAACAATTGAAACCAAAAGCTTCACCAAAAGCCTACTTACATGGTGACAATGTGGCGTTGAAAAAGAAAGATTGCATGTAAATATGGGTACTAACAACAACAAAAACCCAAATAAAAAGAATAAAGCTGAATGCCAATACGTCTTCAGAGTTGAAATACTGACTAAAAGGCAAGTAAAAGAGAAGACAAAAACATGAAAAGATAATTAATTAGTACCAAGCGGCAATACCTAGCTTCCGGAAACAAAACAATCCAATTATTAGAAAGACCAACAGGGAACGTTCAAGACGGTGAGCAAGAACCACTCGCCTCGACCAAGAAATTACTAAGATATCTGATGGCGTTCTCTCTGAGGTCTTCGTCGAGGAACTCGAGGATGGTCTCCGGCAACACCATGGGCCGGCTCATCCACTTCAGCTTGTGCTTTTTCCCCCTGATTACCCCCGTCTTCGCGGCTGACACCGCCGAATAATCCCAAGAAACAACATATTACAAACCCCGTTCAAGAAATCAAGTACGCATGAGGAAATGAGAAAGGAACGGAAACCTTGGTCTATCGTGGAATCATCACGCACGTCTATGGTTCTTTCCTCCAACCGGTTCCCCTTCTGTGGATCTTGGTCGCACATGCCGTCGCCAGCCTCCACCTTCGCCATCACTGTCGATGGGGTGAAGGTTCGCATACTCTAAATCGAGCCGTTTCTTCGATGGAGAGAAAGACAGAGAGAGAGAGAGGCAAGAGGAGAGAGGAGAGAGGAGCGAGGAGAGAGAGAGAGAAAAAAAAAAAAAAAACAAAATCAAATATATGGACAATTTTACCCTTTCCTTGCCATTTGAATTGAATCCCAACCCAACTTCCAAAAAACCAACCCAGCCCGGCCCAATAATCTGGGTGAGTCGGGTTCGTCCAGACCAACTCAAAGCTTCGATCAAATAATTACACGACTCTTAAAGATCGATGTTCGCAGATCTCAAGCGGTGAAATCCGTGCGCCGCATAGTAGCGGATCCGAGTTTAGTCGACATCACGTGTCGTACACGTGCTATTCCCTCCCCCGGCACGAGCCTGCGAACCGAACCGAGAGAGGACATTCTTCTTCCCGGAGAGGGTTTGGGGTTTCTCTTCGCCAGTTTGGTGGCTTTGAAGCGAGAACTCCCCCTCTGGATCTCGATTCGAGCTGAGGTGTGCGTGAATCAGGTCAGTTTCTTTCGTCCATGGATTCCCTCTGCGCCGCAACGCGCAAAATTGCTTCTTGTTTCGTTTTCCTTTTTCTTCCTTCTTTTTCTGAAAGAATAAATCATCATCTCTGCTCGGTGTCAAATTTGCTGAAAGAATGAAATTTATAGCAAAAGAAACCTTGGTGTTCACCAATCCGTGAAATTACTCTCTAATGGGAGCTATATATTCTGTCATCTCCATTGTGATTTAGTGAGCTTGCGATATTAGTGGACTTTGATTGGTTGCTAGTGATTCTTTTTTCTTGCAAGGTATGGTTCGGGAAGCCATTGCAGAAGTCGTTTCAGCTCCGATGTTACTTTTGGTTCCTGCAAAATTAGGTTAAATAGTTAATACTTCTGTGAAGGGATTATTCAAAATAAGGATTTTTCTTTTTTACCAATGTCTAGCCAGAAACAACCTCTCTATTGGCATAGGGCAACGATGTGTGCATCTAACCTCCGTATTTCACATTTGTACTGAGAGCTTCACCTACAAGAATGCCCTTTTTAGTTATAAATACCAATTGATGATGTACACAGCATAAGATTCTTACAAAAAGATGTTATTGTCATAGTTTAGTGACTTAATTGCAATAGCGATCAACGGAAGAGTTATCAGCTAATCTGAGAATTAAGCTAAGAAGCCACTTGTCAGTGCTATGAACTCGCCTTTTTCTGTGCAATTAACGGTTACATAGGAGGGCATATTCGACAAAACTAGTATGGTCGCAAACATGTAAAGTCACTTGTATCCGTGTTCTATAGCCACCGTCTAACAACTGTTTTAAACTTCAATAATTAGATATAGTGGAAGGAAAATATGACTATCATCATTCTTGAAATGAGTAGGCGAGTCCGCACTGGAAACTTGTCTGAGTTTTGAGTATGCTCACCAAAGAGGGGGTTCCATGTCAAGGGTCAGATTGTATGACTACGTTTTATATTATCTTTTTCCAACTGATATACTAAAAAAACTAGGATTGCACTGCTAACATTTGTGATCTTCTAAAGTTGCTCATCCAATTTCTTCTCTTGGTCAGATTAGTTTGTGCCTGATGGCTTGCAAGTTATGCTGATTGCTTCTTTATGATGTCAATTCTTCATTGCTCATGTTGCAGTTTATGCAGCAGGTGTCCTGGGGAGCTTTGCTTATAATGTTCGTCATTATTGGCAACCGTGTTCTCTCAACATTATTTGCTTGAGCTTTTTAGTGATTATTTAATGTTACAGGCCATACATCCTTTACCTCAAACCCAAGTTTTTAGATGCTGTTTATAAACACTTGCTGGTTGATAGGTTCTTATGATGTTTCTTTTTAACAGAAATTGCTTTTATCAAGAAGGATGTAGATGAACTCTATACATTAAAGATATACATTTTAAAAATGATGATATACCAAAGTTTTTTCATCTTCCAAGCAACAGAATTCTGGCTTACAAAGTACTGATTCCATGGATGGGTCAGTTACCTGGGTTATGGATGGATCTGTAGAAAGCACTATTGGCACAACTGGTTCACTTGGTTCAGGAGTAAATGTCAACTCAGAGTTAGATCCAAAAGTCGGGATGATTTTCCATTCAGAAGATCAAGCATACAATTTTTATAATTCGTATGCTAAGAGAAAAGGTTTTAGTGTCCGAAAAGATCATCTTTCTCGAAGAAGTGATGGCCGCATACGTTATAGACACTATGTATGTAGTAATGAAGGTTCTCGTAAAGAACATCCTGTGAGTATGACTAAAAAATCACGTCCAATAGAGAGAACAAACTGTATGGCTCGTATTGAGTTTAAAGTTAACAATGACAATTTATGGATTGTTAATAGATTTATTGATGAACATAACCATCCACTCGCAACCCCAAGTAATTCGCACATGTTAAGGTCACACAGAAAGAAATTGCCTGTTCAGCGTTCAAACATTTCTAGGTCGGGAATCTACTTTGGAGCAAAATATACTCAGAATGATATTCAGGCAGAAGCAGATTATGGAGAAGATGCAGGATTGCTCTTGAAAAATCAAAGCAATTGTTTGACCACAAGACGGTTGAAAGATCTTGAAACAGGAGACACACAGTTTCTTTTAGACTTTCTAAGAACTAAGCAATCAGAAGATCCATCATTTTTCTATGCTATACAACTTGATGAAAAGGAGCGACTGACCAACTGCTTTTGGGCAGACATGCAGTCAATAGTAGATTACACTTACTTTGGTGATGCGATCTCATTTGACACAACTTATCACATTCGTGGTGATGATATACCATTTGCACCATTTATTGGCACAAACCATCATAAACAAATTGTTATCTTTGGGGCCGCATTATTATTAGATGAAACTTTAGAATCGTTCGTTTGGCTGTTTAGAACTTTTTTAGTAGCAATGTCTGGAAGACAGCCGAAAACAATATTCACTGATAATTGTGCTGCAATTTCAGAGGCAATTGCTACGGCTTTACCAGACACATGTCATCGGCTTTGTCTATGGAATTTGCTTCAAAGTGTGTCTACACATCTTCCATGTTTAGATATCAACTTCCAGCGGGAGTTTGAGAATTTCATCTATGATGTTGGTTCAGAAGATGATTTTCATAAAGAATGGGATAGCTTGATCTCGAGTTATGGCCTTGCAAACGTCTCATGGTTCAAAGATCTGTACTCTGTTCGAGAAAAATGGGGTTCGGTTTACCTCGGGAACTCATTTTCTGCTACCATGATGACAAGACAATGGACTGAGGACATGACCAACCTCTTTGGAAATCATTTCGTTCGTAAGTTGTCTCTGACCAAATTCATTATTCAGTACTTGAAGTCACTGATTCATCTACGGGAGAAGGAAATTCTCGAAGATTATGATTCAACACAAAGTAAGCCTGTTTTATTTGTTGACATTCCTATGCTGATTGAAGCATCAGAATCATATACAAGGACGATATATGTGGATTTTGAACATGAATATAAAAGCCAACTTGCTTGTCTTTGTGAACCTGTTGGTGTAGATGGAATGCGAGTCACCTTCAGAGTTTATATTCCCCAAAAGCGGTGCAATGGATTAGTTGAATTTAACCCAACTGAAACTATTGTCACATGCAGCTGTAGGAAGTTTGAATCCATGGGCATCCTATGCATGCATGCGCTGAAGGTTCTCAATAATAACAATATCCTTTCGCTCCCATCCAAATATATACTGAAGAGGTGGACTAGGTTTGCAAAGGATGGTTCAGTATCTAGCGGACAGCTAGCCACAGGGGGTTCTGGCAGTCAAGTATCTCTGACAGTGCGATACAGTCGTGTTTGCCGCAAAGCGCTTGCTGTCACACTGAGAAGTGCAGTTTCCAAGGATGCCCTTGATGTTCTTGAGCATGGACTTGACAAGATCATAGCACAAATGGAAAATGTGTTGCATAATGCCACATCAAGTAGACAAGCAGAAGACGTTCATGTAGTTGATGGCATACCGCGAAATACATCAGGAACAACTGACATTTGTTTCAGTGGATTTGGTTTTAGTCCTAGATGAGCTTAATACGTCGGAGAGCTCTTCGTTTCGTTGTTACTAGGTTTCTAATTTTCCTTCTGAAATCTATATCATATGCAAGATATATTGTTTTTTGTTGAGGAATTAGGGAGCACATTTTACTAGTCTGCTTTACAGAGGTCATCGTCTTTTTTAAAGTCAGGATATTTCTGGTAGAATTCACATTCTAGAGGACATGTGCTTAAGAATTTTAGTTGTTTATGTAATTACAAATGCTCATACTTTTTGTGATATACAAAACAGCTTCAGGCTGTATATGTGAATGCAACTGCTAAAAGTTTGCTTTGACATTCCACTATCAGCTGTTATGAGTTTTTTGGAGCTGATTTCTTTTTTGGTTATTAGGAATATACATCTAGAGCCATTTGTATTGATTTCTAAGACAGCATTGGATTCTGATCTGTCAATCCGTTACTCTTGTTCATAGTGCCTTTTTGAGGTCCAGTAGAAACTTTGGCATAGATGAAGAAATCTTTTATAAACCTGAATAGATGTCAACTGCAATGGTGTATGAATTCTACGATTTAAAGATAAATATATTCTCTTAAATTTTATTATCATAAATATGATGAAGGATAAATCTTTTGATGGATTAAAAATATTTGTTGAGACATCCGATTGGTTAATGTATTATTGTAGGAGTGTTAGGTCTCATATTTGAAATTTATTTTAATTTTACTAAAAAATAAAATTTTAGGATGGCATGTGGCTTTTTAGTTATTTATTTATTTATTTTTGGGTGCACTTGTCGTTGAGTTATACTCGTTTTATAAAGTAATGAATTAACTTTTTTTATTTTGGAAAAAAATTGTGTTAAAAAAACTAATGCTGGATAAAAGGTTAATGCTTATTGGGGTGTTTTGGGTTGATATAGTAAGCTGAGATATCAAAAAATAACAATTGTTAGTGTCACAGCGGTGATGTTATTAATTTATTAATGGATATCCAATGTATATATTTAGTGAATCACTAAAACTTTTCCTTCGGACCACGAAAAAGGGCACGGTGTATGTGGTGCAAATGTTGCCACCTCAACCGTGTTTGGTCGTAATAGGAATTTGGATTCGATCAAATTGGGCTCCATGCGTAGGCACCAATAAAAGAAAAGGTAGGTAATCGGGCTAAGTTGTAGGCGGATAGAAAACGTATTGCTTCCATACAAATAGTGCATAGGGGTCTTCTCGTGAATTGGTATCGTACATTGACATGGGTATTTTAGTCAATTGACAAGCTTCTAGGCCTCTCCCACTCCCTTATATAACGGTACTCGATCGATCTGGCGGTTCCTGCTGCCTCCTCAAAACTAGGGTTTCGACGGAACCCTATCTCTGTTTCGCCCTCTCTTTCTCGATCTCGGGGTCGAATCCCCTTCTTCGAGGAGGCGATCGGAATCTTGCTCGATCTTTCTCCAAGTTTTGATTGGCGGAGCCGGTGCTGGAGATGTCGACAGAAAGGAAGAGGAAGGTGAGCCTCTTCGACGTGGTGGACGACACTTCCGTGTCCGTGAAGCTGGGCAAGGCGAACGGATCCTTATCCGCTAAGACGGCGGCGCTTCCGCCGGGGGTAAACCGCTGGAGCGGTCGGCCCTACTCGCAGAGGTACCACGAGATCCTGGAGAAGAGGAAGACCCTCCCGGTATGGCAGCAGAAAGAAGAGTTCTTGCACGTATTGAAGGCCAACCAGACTCTGATCTTGGTCGGAGAGACCGGCAGTGGTAAAACAACTCAGGTTTGTTATTCGGACCCCTTGGGTAGACATACTCCTTCGGCGTTTTTAATTAGAGGTCATGTTCGTGCTAATAACGTGATTTTAAGTGCTGTAAATTCCGTTGTTAGTTCTTGGTTCCTGTGAAAAGCTCTTCTATCTTTTTTTCCTTTTCCGAAGGCTGAAGTTTATAAGTAACCACAAGATCACTGATGCTTTATATGTGGAACATTGAGAAATATAGTAAATAACTTGTGAAAATTTCCTTAAGCATAGATGAGGTTGATGAGAAGTATTGGTATTACAAGGAAAGATTGGACAAGAAATGATTGCATTTGTGGTTTACGTCTTAAGTGCATCCAAGAAATGGATAGTCAGTTCAAGTTGTGGAGTGTAGAGATAACTTGGATGAAATATTGGAAATGTATATCAAACTCATCTGACTGTTTGATGACGGTCCTTTAATGAGTGTTAAGCATTGGAATTATGTGATACATTATTGTCTGAAAGAAATGTAATTCGTTGTTGTTGGCATTCATTTTTCCCCTTTACTAGCATACTAGTCTCTATAAACTTAGTGCATTGGAAATGACCAAATACAGAGCACTTCTTTGAGATAATGTTATTTGTATGTAAAGAGATATTTCTTTGTGATTACGTGTCAGAAAAATAAACTTGATTGCTTACTCGGTCATCTTAGTTCTTACTGCTGTCTTGGTGAATGCATATAATTACTCTGCCACTAGTTTTGAAACAATTCATCGGAAAAACCATGTGAATATCCTATTTAAAGGAGTGATCAATAATGTTTTATTGATTAAGAGCAAATGTGTGAACAAATGAAGGATGATAAAAGCATAATAAAATGTACAAGTTACCTTCTTCCTGTCTGCATTCATTAGGTATTGGTGTCTCTCTTAGTAGACTGGATATACCAAATATGTATGGAACTAAAATTTCAATCTTGAAAATGTCCTAGAAGTTTTAGATACCAAATAATGGGTATGAATACTGATGTATAACAAATAAACATATCATCTACCATATCCAACTCCATTCTGCTTTTCGGATTATTCGGACATCTGTGCCACTTGCTCCCTTTTCATGTGTCTGTAATCAAGCTTTTTCAATTCATAGCCTGCTGATCATTATACGTTTTCTTGTTTTATTTAGTGTTGCTTATAATTATTGTGGTTATTCTCTTGTTCAGGTATCTAGCACTTCAATTTCAAATAAAGATTCACCTAGTAATTACATTCGCATTGGAATGCTTTTGCTACTTCTGTTGTTTCCTTGTTGATGCTTTTTCACTGATTTCAATCTCTTTTATTCTTTTTAATATTTCAATTCAGATTGCATGAATATTTCTTTTCAATTTTGTTATAGCTTTCAATAACACATTAACTAAAAGAGTGATTGTCATTGAACAGATTCCCCAGTTTGTCTTGGAATGTGAGGACTTGGGCAAACGCCCAATGGTTGCTTGCACTCAGCCTCGAAGAGTCGCTGCAATGTCTGTTTCTCGTCGAGTTGCTGAGGAGATGGATGTAACAATAGGAGAAGAAGTTGGTTATAGCATCCGATTTGAAGATTGCAGCAGCCACAGGACTATTTTGAAGTAAGTCCGTCTTGAATGCTTCTGGGTCTCAGTCACAATGATGATACTTTTCTACAAACTTGGTCAGACTTGTAACTTTCGTTAACTTATCACTTAATAATGTAGAAATCAACACATTAAATGATTAAGGTCTTGTGCCAGGCCAAGGTTGTCATGGACTATCATGGTAGATTGTTGTGCAAGTGGCATCTGTTTCTGTGTTTACATTTGCATAGCCACTTTTTACATGTGTTGCAGGAAGTTTTACAGTTAAATATATAACACCATCTGATTTGTCATTTGGAACACAACAGCCTGAGTGTGACTTGTTAGAGTTTAACACATCTATGTCATACCTTTAATTCTCCTGGACCCATGCATTGGTACTTTAACTCATGGACTCTTTTTTTCTTTGTCACTTTGATGCCAGGTACTTAACTGATGGTATGCTTTTAAGAGAAGCAATGGCTGATCCACTTTTGGAGAGATATAAGGTGATAATTCTTGATGAGGCTCATGAACGAACATTAGCAACCGATGTCTTGTTTGGGCTGCTGAAAGAAGTACTGAGAAATAGACCTGATTTGAAGCTAGTGGTAATGAGTGCAACGCTCGAGGCTGAGAAGTTCCAGGGTTACTTTAGTGGGGCCCCTTTAATGAAAGTACCTGGTAGATTGCATCCAGTGGAAATTTTCTACACACAAGAGCCTGAAAGAGATTACCTGGAAGCTGCCATTCGAACTGTTGTACAGATACACATGTGTGAACCTTCAGGTGACATACTTGTTTTTCTCACTGGAGAGGAAGAAATAGAAGATGCATGTAGGAAAATAACAAAGGAGATCAATAATATGGGTGACCAAGTTGGCCCTGTGAAAGTGGTGCCTTTGTATTCAACTTTGCCCCCAGCCATGCAGCAGAAGATATTTGAACCTGCACCAGCGCCACTGGAGGAAGGTGGCCCACCGGGACGAAAAATTGTGGTGTCGACAAACATTGCAGAAACATCATTGACCATCGATGGCATTGTTTATGTTATTGACCCTGGTTTCTCAAAACAAAAGGTGTACAACCCACGAATACGGGTGGAATCTTTGCTCGTCTCTCCAATATCAAAGGCAAGTGCGCATCAAAGAGCAGGACGTGCTGGTAGAACCCAACCAGGAAAATGTTTTAGACTTTACACAGAGAGAAGTTTTAAAAATGACCTGCAAGAGCAAACATATCCAGAAATTCTCCGGTCTAATTTGGCAAATACTGTTCTTACCTTGAAGAAACTTGGGATTGATGATCTAGTTCATTTTGACTTTATGGATCCTCCTGCTCCTGAAACATTGATGCGGGCACTTGAGGTCTTGAATTACCTAGGTGCACTTGATGATGATGGCAACTTGACTAAGTTAGGTGAACTTATGAGCGAGTTTCCCCTGGATCCTCAGATGGCGAAGATGTTGGTTGTGAGTCCAGAGTTCAATTGTTCCAATGAGATCGTGTCAATATCTGCAATGCTCTCAGGTAGGCTAAAAATTGCAATTTTGTTATAATTTTTTTCTATTATTGGTTATTTAATATTGAAGGTTTGCGTATATTCTTGTCATGTATGGTTATAATTCTTGCACTTGCACTCTTAGCATCAAAGACTTAATGCTAAGCGTTTTGATCTGTATTATGGTAATTATGTTGAATGGTTAAAGTTATTTGTGTTTATGGCAGTCTGTCTGTGCATGTTTCCTAGACTTTATTGAATTGCAAGCACCAATGCTCACAAGATGTTATCAACATTTCTTGTGTTTGGGGACATTATAATTGCATGCTCTCGCTCAATTGTTTGTCCATGGTTGAAGTATTGGCATTTAAGAGATGTAGGATATTGTGATTATCTTGTATTGTTTGCTATTGGGTGTGACTGGTTTCTATGTAGATCAGGCATTAGGATTTAATGATCAATCTCTCATGGTCTTATTAACCAGTCTTTCGGACTTACTGTAGATAGTTTCAATTTCTCAAAT